GTTAATTGATTATTGAAGAAAGAAAATATTTTTTTTAATTTAGTGTAGCCTAAGTGTAGAGTATTTATAAAATCTATAGCAGCACAGAGTAATGTCCTAGGCATTCACATTCACTCACCACTCACTCACTGACTCACCCAGAGCAAATTCCAGTCCTGCAAGCTCCATTCATGGTAATTTCCCTTCACAGGTATACCATTTTTTATCTTATATAGTTTATTTTTACTATACCTTTTGTATGTTTAGATACACAAATACCCATCGTTGTGTTACAATGGCCTACAGTATTCAGTACAGTACTCAGTATAGCCACGTGCTGTACAGGTTTGTAGCCCAGGAGCAATAGGCTGTACCATATAGCCTAGGTGTATAGCAGGCTACACCATCTAGCTTTGTGTAAGTACACTCTACAACATTCCCACAATGATGAAATGTGCCTAAGGGCACATTGGTACATAATGGAAAATTAGGAAGCCACTAAAAAGTGTACTGCAGACATATATCTGTTGATATTAAGGGAGAAAATGATTAAAAATAGTACAGATGGCATGATAAACTTTAAAAGAAGTAAATGTTTATACATGCATACAAAAGTATCTGGAAGAACATAAAACAGGGTTTTGCTAGTGGTTATATCTGAGTAAATGTGGTTTCATTGCTTTTTAATGCTCTTTCTCTTGCTTGTCTATTTTCTGCAATGAACACTAACTTTTTTGAAAAAATAAAAATATTAATAAAAGAAACTTAATTTCAATAAGACATAAATAATTGCTCCCAGTTATTTTTCTTTTCTCAGAAGTAACACTGTGGCTTCATGTACTACACAAAATGCCCCCTCAAAAAAGAAAAACAAATGCCAACCAAAAGGCTGTCTTAGGTTACTTATTTTATGGAACCAGCTGATAATTCTTTCCCCAATCTGAGTAACCAGAAATTAGATTACATTAAGACAACCCTTTGGGCTTTTGGTTTGCTTCTTAGTTGACCATAGTAGATACATGTACAGACCATTAATGAAAATACTTTTTACTTTTGCTAATGAGGTGAGTTTTCTTTTATAAATGAGGAAGATGATGTCCTCTGAAGAGTAAAGCTACACACAAAGTGAGACATTCAGGTATCTGAACAGAACCTAATAAAATTAGAGCAAGAAAACTATAATGCCTTTAAGAGTAACCCAAAAGCTTGTGCAGTTCTAGAAGGAATAACACCATGAGTTTAGAGGAATAGGCAAACAGATCCAATCCTACAGGCATTTTTGTTTGGGTGTCCCACAGTAAGTTGTAAATCTAGAACAGGAAACCTGAAATCATTAAGGTCACATATTTGTAACATCATATTCAATTAGGTTAGAAAAGTGCAATATCTGTCATCATGTCATAAAAAGATGTGTTTTTCTCTCAGATCTCTTATAAAGAAAAGCTCCCTATATTGTTACAGATAGGGCTGTTTTCAATCAGTTACAAGGAGCAATTCAATTACTAGATGGTTTAGTGCAGTAACTGACTCCAGACTAATTTAATTTCTTTAGGTCTCTAAAGATCAATTGATCTGATTTGTCCCATCCCCAAAGGCTGTTTAGGAAAAATTCAGACTTAAATACCTGGAAATGAAATCCAAAACCTTGGGCAATTTCACACTACTTAGGTCATCTTGCAAACTTTCAGCTAGTCATGTAAGAGTGCTCTCTTGGCCCTCAGACCACTGAAGGCTACTCAGCATCATGTACATGTGAGAGCTCCCACATCGGGATGCTTGTTCAATAAGTAGAAAATGTGGCTGCATGCATTATCAAATCTGCCATTCTAAAGGGCAGTCAGACTGGGTAGTCCTTTCTCATAAGCCATGTGCAACTACAGGGCTATTTTTACTCTAGGAGAAGTTTGTATTTGTACCCCTGTAATACTCTGAAATTTTAAAAAAAGACTATTAAAAATAGAGTGAGATGGGATAAAAACTGTTAAATGAAGTGCTCATTTAACAAGATGAGGAACTTATAATTATTTTACATTTTTAGATTTATAAAGTGCTGTCATGAATGTCAGCTTGCTTGATTCTCAAAATAAATCTTTTAAGTGAGCAGGGTTATTGTTTCCATTTTCTAGATGAAGGAATAGACTCGGAGGTCTGGTGACTTCTCCAGGATCATTCACCCAACAAAAGGCAGAGCTGGGACTCTGACCAATGACTTTTTTCCCCCAATAGATCATGCTCACCCCCTGGTCTGAGACAGAACACATGTACACTAAAGACATTGCTAAAGCCCCACTGAGTCACTGTCTTCATTATTATTTGAAACCTGAATAAAACTGAGAAAAAGTTCACTTATAATAATCCCAGCTGCATAAACCCTGTCTGCATTGGACCTTCTGGCACTCAGAAAGAGGCAATAAAAAAAGTCATGCCTAAAGGAAGTAGACTCCTTTGTTGCCCATACTGCTGGCACTGCATTCTCACTGCCTTATGTCCCCCCTAATTGGAGAATTACCCACTTGCATTTTCTCTTCATTTTGCGATGGATTTTTAACCACAAGCTCAAGTTTCTTTCTCTCAACATCCTCAACCACTTGTCAAGCTCACTAAGTAATTAATCTTTTTTCTACTCAAATCCCACAGTTTCTGCCCAACGTTCAGCTTCTCCTGCTGGCTTCTTTGCCTCCCCACTGAGCCTCTTAATCTGTTCCCCCAAATCAAACCTCCCCCCTATGCTCTGCCATTTGGAAAGACTTAGGAAGACTCAGAGAGAGGTTGCTAAAACATGTAATCACTGAGTTGCCAAGACAGGTTGGGTACAATGCTGAGGTCGGGAGAAGTGGCCACGTGGTAGGTAACAACGAGTTCAGTACAACTATGTAGCAGCTAGTAGGGAAATCACACAAAGACATGGAGATAAAGTAAAACAGCGGGCTGGTGGCTAGCGTAGCTCCTCCCATCCCCATCAATAAACATGTTGGGTCACATAAAAGAATAAGTTAGTGTGTTTAAGAGATACCAATGATCAATTAGGTTGAAAAATCTTTTCTTTGAAAAACACAGTTTTTGTCATTCATACTGTGTAAACTGTGGATCTCAGTATAGTCATGACTCATCACCCAGATGGTTTCAAACTGCATGAACCATTTTAATTGAGTAAAAAATAGGGTTATAGGCACATGATTGTCACTTGTCTTCTTAGAGGGTCCTGAGACCTGATGTTTCTCCTATTAATACAAGCAATCCATGCTATAGGTAAAATTATGTGACCCTGCATTAAATTACATCTTCCTTGTTTCAAAATTCCAAATTACCCTTATACTCTTTGTGTTAGCAAATATATGTACTTCAGAAGGAAAAAGCTATCAAAGTTCTGTTTCTCTGCAGATTGCCACTCATGAAGACTTGAAGCTTAATGTTATCAAAAGGACTAAGTCTTTGATAACAACAAAGACTATTTTTTACAGTGGAATAAATGTCCTGACCAAAGAAACCACTTTACTCAGAAATAGAACATAGAATAGATCCAGCTGCAGCAGCTGCATTTCTGCAGGGTTTATAACTGGAAGGAAAGCGGGCACAGAGAGTTGGAGACTGTATATGGTAAGGTTATGGTTCTTTGGTATCCAAAGGAGTGTGTCTCACAAACTCCCTTTTCTTTTGATCTTATCGGAACAAGAAAGTAAACAGAACATTCTCATTACCTCTCAATGTCGGTGAGCCTGGAAGAATCCCGGAATCCTTTGGCAAAAGGATTGCTATCTATTTTCAGCTTGGTTATCTAGAAAGGAAAGAACGGATACAAAACAAGATCATTTCCGAGGTTAAGGAAGTATAAGGAGAAATAGAGTTTGTTCATTTCCCATGGCACACCGAGAATATCTTCATGTCTCTCTGTGTTGTGAGAAGGGTGGAAAGTGCTGGACAAGTTCACAGGAGGGACGGATCACGGCCAGGTGGGATGGCCGGGGAAGGCCTGAGAGAGAAGGAGGTATCTGAGGACAGGCTGGAGGTCAATGGATAGATACAATTAGGGATGGGGGGCCTTTCAGGCAAAGGTAGACATGAACAGGGGTGTGAGGTATTTAAGAGATCAATGAATGGCTAGGGCTGAACTGCAGAATGGGCAGCTGCCCAGATGAGAAAATTATGCAGAATTCCAGAGCTGCTGAGGAATAGGGAATAAAAGTAAGAATGCTGTCTCATTCTAACTTGGCAACATCTTTTGTTAATACTATGAGCACATATACATACCATCATAGATAAAAAGATAAAATGGCCTCATGTTCAATACTATATTGATATATATGACATAAACACATGATATAAAGCCTTCAGAATATAAATGTACTCCTATTCCCCTTTCCATTTGACTAAATTAGAATCAGATTAGTCCCTCTTTTGTTATCCCTCCATGCAATGTTATTTATAAACTCTATGCTTATATGGAAAAAATGCATTCTAATAAGAATCACAATCTAAGTATTAATATTAAGTGTCTATGCTGTGATATTCATAATTCCCATAGGACTAATACTAATGTAGAAATATCCATTAAATCATATGTACTGTGCCTCTGCAGGAAAATACATTAGGTTGCAAAGAAAAAATAATGGAAATGCTGATTAAAAGATACTCAACATGGAAAATCCCTGAATGTTAGAGGTGAAAGGAACCTGAGAGACCATCTAGCCCATGGTCTCGTCAGGCAGATAATCACACTGAGGCTCAAAGAGTGTAAGGACCAAGAAACAGAAAGTCAGTAACTGAATTAGAACCAAGGAAACCTTTAAAGAGTCATAGCTCCTTAGAATCAAAATTAGAACTCCTGTTAATCTTTAGAGAGAAACACATACAAAATATTCTTAACAGGGGAAAAAGTCATAGATTGTGGTATGTCTTCCTCTTTCAAAATAAGGAATAAATAATCAAAACAGTTTGGAATTCTATTTTGCCAAAAAGCAACTTTTCCTCCAATTACAGTGTATCTATAGTTCATTTTAAACTGTTAACAGAAGCAGAAGAATTCTCTTTTTTATTACAAAAGTGCTTTTTTCTTCTTCACGTTTTCTTAATGTGAGTTAAACCAACAAATGAGCAGCAAAGAAGCTATCTTCCTTGCTTACGATGGAAACTCCCACACTATCCTGACCAGAGACGCTCTTCTCCTCTATCAATAACACTGGCAAGTTATAAGATTGACTGGTAATATTAATTTTTAAGGGTGTTTGACAGTGCCTCAGAAATGCTCATTTTTAGCCAAAGAATATTCACTATAGAGCACTATAGAGCAGCTATAGTCACAGAAATTGGTAGACAGGGAAGAAAATAAGGTAGATAGAAACCTGTTCTCAATGGATAGCAACAGCTACTTAAAGTAGCTGCATACAAGGAAATACACAGGAACGCCTGAGGTTGCCTCTAAAATGTGCCATGAAAAGTTTACAGAGAACCTTTCCTCACACATGGCCACGGCTTTCTCAAGAGTGAAGTCTGTTTCATCCATTTCAGATCAGGACTTATTTGTGTGAATGTCAATTTACAGGAAGAAGAAGAAAAGTTTTATTTGTTTGAAATAAATTGTAAACATCTTCTAAAGCCCAGGCAACCAGTATCCTCTAAGATTATAAACACAAACAAGATTTTAAAATCCTCTAGGACAGGAGGTATGTCTCTTTC